GGGGGGGGGGAGGGGGGGGGGGGGGGGGGGGGGGCACACAGAAAACAGCTGCACTAAATTTTTTCCGCCGACAGCTCCACTTTTTCAGAACGATAACTCGCGGCGCGCCGCGCCGCGCCGAGCCGAGCCGGGCCGGGCCGGGCCGGCTAACTAAACACGATGCCCTATTAAATAATACCGTTTTATACCTCGCCATCAAATTTCATCCAAGGGATCTACAGGGTGTGTCGCGGCCGCGCGGCAAACCGTCGGAAGATGTCGAGAGTTTCGATCGGAACTCCGAGCGAATTGGTTTCCCGAGAACTCGCCGCGGCCGGGATTCGGTTCCGATTTCACGGAGAGGATGGTTTCGACGCGAGTTCGAGAATTCGTCTAATCGTTTGCAGCTTCTCCGCGACGGAAACTCGACCGAGAAACACCGAGCGATCCGAACACCGGCTCGTTGCGAACGCTTATTGCCCGGCTAACTCGTTCCGCTCGCTAAAAGAACAGATCGAGGCGGAGTTTGCGTTCCGTCAAGTTTCAGTTTCACACGATCTCTCTCTCTCGCTCTCTCACTCTGCGCGAATGTTTTAGCCAACAAGAAATCGAACAAACATCGGCAGTTCGATTACCAGTGAAAACATTGTCATTGTCGGTGATCCACCGTTCCGAGTTGCAGAGCCACGCCAAAACCAATACCGGATCGCTTCGTTTTTACAAAATTACCACAGGCGTGGATACACGGCGTTACCTTCGTCGTAAACATCGAAAACGAATTCGCCGGTGTCGATCTTTAATTTCTGTATATTTCAGAGATTCGGAATTTCTCGCTAGATCCAAGGGCGAAGGACTGTCGTTACGGTACGGCCGGAGACGGAAGAAAATGGTTTTCTTCTTTATTTAATACCAGAAAACCGTGTACAGCAAAATAATACGATTATTGTCTCGATCTTATTCGGTTTACTTGTACGGCTGCTTCTCAGATTCTACCCTAGCAAGCTCGCTAGAAGTGAAATCGACGAAGGAAAGCAGAAGATCCATGTCCGAAGATGCATTCGGATCCGAGTCATCGTCGGTGCCAGCGGAGTACGTATCGTGTTCGATCGTTCCAGCTTTTTCCGTATTCCCGAGAATCTGTTTTCCATAGATCCGTCGCTGAAACGTACAGATTAATAGAGCCGGTTGCGAAACATCAGAATATAATCCTTGGATTTAACCCTTTGGACAGAAAAAACTCACTCGGTCGATCAAGTAATCCGGAGCGTACGCGCGCGCACGTAGAACAGGTGCTCGTTTTATTGGTTGCAGAGCACGACCCATTTCTTGTCGTTTATCTTCCGTAGTTTCTTTTTGCTCGGCGTCATTGTTTCCTCCGTTCCAGTGGTTCGCGCGGATTCCGGTCCATCGGAATCGGGAGTCGGCTTGGTAGGCGACGCTTTGGCAACGACCTCGGCTCGCGAAGGGGTTACGATCTCCGAATCGGCGCGAGTCGGTTCCGTCGACGCGCTTTCGACAAGAGGTCTCTTGACGGGTTTACTCGCTTCGGTCGTGCTCGCGTTACGAAGAGCAGCTTGCGAGTGGTCCGCGCGAGCGTCCAAAGTATCGGGAGAACGGTTCTCCGATACGGTTTGATCCACTCGAGACAGAGAGGAATCGTTCGAGTTGCTTCTGTCGTTGGAAAGCTTGCGACATTGTTCCGCCGTGTGGCCCTCGTTTTTGCACAGAGAACACTTCTGCTTGTTCGCGGAGACGGAGATCCAGTATCCGGTGTTCTCGAAGTTCACCCGAAGGTGCCCGGGCAGCTTGTTCTCGTCGTCCGGATGGATGTGCACCTGTCTTCTGAAGCTGAGTATCTGAGTGAAGCCGGATTCGGTGAAACCAGCCTTGACGAAGGAGATCGGCGACAACAATCGGATTCCAATCTTCTTAAAAGCAGATTCTATCTCCAAGTGCGGTATAACCGGGCACACGTTCGACAGAACTATGTGTTTCGCTTTCGCCGTCAATGGTCTGATCGACAGCGGACGTCCACGGACTTCGACGTTCAGCTTCTCCGTCACGATCTTGTCCGCGACGGATTTGGACGACAAATAGACGCAGATCTTGTTGTCGGCAATCCTGGAGGCGAATCTGATGTTCCCGGGATCGATGATCCTGCCGATCGCAACGATGTACTCTTTCACGGAGATATCTTCCAGGGCATCCAGCACTATCGCTTGCTCTTTCGTTGGGAAACACGTCTGTATCACGCTCGCGTAACTCGAGGACGGAATCGAGCCACTGCCACTCGGGCCATTTTCTTGACCGTTTATCTCCATGTTCGATCGTAGGAGAAGATTCCGGTGTCTAGGAACGTGTTCTCGCAGACAGGCGGAGAAACGCGGAGCGTCGGCCGACAGACAAGTCGAGCGACCGCGGCGCGACACCGAACGACAAATGCGATCCGAGCTTTTCTCGCTGTCTCGAAACTGACGACAACAAGCGGGGACACGACGCGCTCGCTGCGATCGTCAACACGAGACTCGAAGAAAATGGTTGGCAATCCGGAATTATCGAATATTATACCGGGCGAAAAAACAAACGACGCGCTACAAACACGCGAAACCGAAAAAAAAAGGATATGCAACCGGGAGAGTCCGGGTGCTCTGCTGCGTGGGACATTTCATCAGAAAATCCATCAAGAGATTGCTTCTGGCCAATTTCTTTTCTCTCTTGCAACAACCCGTCCCTTGCTTTCCGATCCTCC